AGGTTATATAGAACAGTATATGGTCATGATACACACGTGAGTGTTCCGCTTTGTTATGGAAAATAACATTTATTTAAAAAAATAGAAAAAGAAAAAGCATAACCTTTACGTGGATAACCACACGCAGAAATAAAATTTGAAATAAAATTTTACTTTTAAAGTTCATTTTAGTTTTTTAAATAATTTATTTTGTTGTTTGAATTTTTAGCACGCGTGGTGTCAATTTATTTGTATCTACATTATCATAAAAAGTAGTAGTTTATATTTTTTCACAAATTTACTTGTAGTTAGTCAATTCCAATGGATTTAAATTGAAAAAGAGATCATTTCAGAATATGTAAGACAAAGTGGTGTGTTTTTACTTTGCGAATAAGCGGAACTTTATGTGCTGAATTGAAGTAATATCGGGTCCTTTTCGGTGACGGACACATTTGAGGCTGCAGGGGAGAGAAGGGGATGGAAGGGCGGTAGGCTTGAATTTGTTGGCGGTAGCATAAACTGTGCATTGACTGTAACTTAATGGCTTCCACATCAGGTGTAAATAGTGGTGGTGAAATGGAATGGGAGATGGCAAGATTATCTAGAATGAAAAGAAATAAAAGGAAAAGACAGGAGAGAGCGAGAAGCTGGTCAGAAGAGAGTGATATTAACAAAAAAACAAAAATAAATACAAGTCTGAGAAGTGCAGACTAACAAGGAAGCAGAATGGAAAGTTATGATTGAGTTCAAACAGGAAGTGGGGCAGTTTCATCCAATTAAACTGACAAAAGCCACTGAGAAAGAGACTGGGAGAATTAAACTGGCCAGRCTCATGAATAATAGGAAAATACTTATCCATGCAGAGAACAAACAACAGCAAGAAAAAAATTGTTAAGATGTCAACACTGGTGGGAGAAACAATTAAAGCATACATACCTGGAACACTTACAAAACTAAAGGGTAATATCAGGAGTACCACTTGACGTAACAATAGATGAAATCAAAAATGAAATCAAAGGAGGGAAAATTACAGAAGCAACAAGGATCAAAAATAAAAGAGATGGAAYTCTGAAAGATACCATGTCAGTAATATTACAGTTTGAAAATGTAATGCCTGAATCTATACATATGTAAACTTCAGAGTAAGAACTTATATTCCAAACCCTCTCAGGTGCTTCATATGTCAAAGAATGGGACATGTTGCAAAAGAATGCAAAGGAAAAATACGGTGTGCGCGATGCAGTGGTCCACATGAGTACAGAAAATGTGAAAAAGATTAAAAAGTGAAGTGCTGTAACTGTGGAGGTGAGCATAGTGCAGCTTATGTTGGTTGCATAGTGCAAAAAGAAGCAAGGGAAGCTCAGAGTTAAAAACAGAAAATATCATGCAGAAGCAATAAAGAAGGTCAGGTATGATGATACAAAATACAAGAGAACTGGAGAAATAAAGCAAAGAACAGCAGGAACAARCCCAAATGGTACACAGAGCAGACAGAAACAACCCATTACTACAACAACAGAACAATATGTATGTTCACACAAATGTAAAGTTGATGAAACTAAATGATGGTGAAGAAAGAAAACTTTATAGCATTTATATGTCATATAGTGAATGTCACAGTACAAATGAAAACGAAAAGAGATAAAATAAAGACAACAGTWACTGCAGCAGGAAAATTCCTTGATATGAAAGAGATCCAAGCAGATCAGATTCATACCCTCTTACGTTCAGCAGACTCAACAGAAAATGGTCAAGAAAAGGATTGAAACACTAATTATGGTCCTTCATATTCTACAATGGAATGCTAGAAGTTTAATAGCTAACGGTCAAGAATTCAAAAGATTTGTATACGATTTAGAAATAATACCAGATATAATATRTATTCAGGAGACATGGTTAAAACCTCATCTAGATTTCAAAATCCCCGGTTATAGTGCAATAAGGAAAGACAGAAATAATGGTAGTAGTGGAGGAGGGTGTGTAACATTTATTAAAGATGGATATAAGGATAATCACACACCCATAGAAACTGAATGTGTGAGCATAGAGATATTTAACTTAAAAAGACTAGGGAATATTGAAATAGTTAACTTCTATAATCCATGTAAAAGTTTTGAAAATAGCACATTTACTGAAATCTTAGGTCAAACTTACAGGAGAAAAATGTGGTGTGGCGATTTTAATGCTCATAACAATCTGTGGGGTAGCAACCAGACAGACAATAATGGCAGAATAATAGAAGAAATTATGGATGAAAGATCGTTAGTATGTTTAAATAATGGTCAGGGAACAAGA